TGGGGGGGGGGGGGTGCGGGGGCACAGAAGCAGGAAGCAACCGCCAAGATTTAATGCATCAGCGTGAGCAGCTATAATGATCTATGGTGCTGCCAATGTCAGCTATAGGATTCACATATGACAGACTTAGGTAACACAATATGGAGTATTTAAAATGCATTTTTTTAAAAAAACACATTTAGTTAATGAAGTAACTCCAAAGCATTTTTTAGTTCCACTGCAAACATGGCACTCCCGATAGACTCTTTTGGTAAATTATTATCCTTTCTCATACAACATCACATGTTGTCTCAGTGCAAGGAACCTGCACCACTGAGAGGTTGATGGTTATTCTCTGGAGCATTTCTTACAATTCTGCTCCCGCACAGTGAAAAGGCAAAGGGCCCCTTTTATGCTTCTCCACTTGTGTGCATTTGTGCAGTCAGAAGAGTAAGCAGCCACAGAATTTTGAGGGATGCTGAGCATGCTGCTGGCAGCTCCCAAAGGCGGCGGGGGGGGGGGGGGGATGACATTACAAACCTGAGTCAAGGTGCTTTCTGGCCTCAGCCAGCTTGCAGGCACACCAGTGCTGAGCCAGGCAGGGACGAGGGAGTTGCAGCGGCTCCTACCAAGCCCTTGTGACAACTTCAAAGGTACAAGAAGGTTGGAAGACTCGGCCCTTCACCAGCCAGCTGCCGCTGCCTAAATTCTTACAGAGGGCCGGGGAGACAGGAATGCTGCTGCTGCTGCTGCTGCAGAGAATAACCAGCCTAGAGAGATGTGCTTCCACAAAAGGACAAAAGGACTTGGTTTTGCTAGAATCACCTGTCTTCTCTCCATCATAGGATATGGCTGTAAAATTCAATCTGATGTTTAAGACGACTTAGGCCTGATTCACACATGCATGAGAATGACGTGAGAGATGCTCACGATGGGCAGAACGGACTGAGCCAGACGGCAGATTCCAACTTGGGAGTGCTCCTTCGCATTAAATCTCCGAAAAACTAGCCTGCCGGCCGGAAAGACTACATCATTTCTCTTTTGCTTGCTGCATTTGCCTGCCTCTTTGCAGGCTGCATGAAGTTCTTAAAAAGACAGGGATCGTGCAGAAATGTGGCTCCCCCCTCCCCACAACCTTTACCACCTCATTCTGCATGTGTGAAAGAGGTCTTCTCGGGAACCAGGCCGCCAGTGATTTAGGGCTGCCCTGAACGTCCCTCCCAGTTCCCACCCACCAGGAAGATATTTGCTGGTTACATCTAAAAAAATAATGCTTTTCCAAGTGGCTTTAAAAATAGAGGGGGGGGGGGATGAAACAGTCACTCCTGAGAAAGCTTTTCCATTTCCCTCCAACTTACTTTTAAAAATATACTATGTAATCCCTAATGACTTCATTCTGGGGATCAAGGTAAAAAACCCCGCATTTTTGAAAATAAGCTACTTAAAATTAATTCCATAAAAAGGTGTGAAGGACCATGTTGCATGGACTGGGTGCCATTCCTAAGCCTAGAAGCTCCTTGTCTCAGAAGGAACAGTTCGGTCCTCCTGCAGTTGAACAAGCACTGGCCTTTTGGGTTTGTATCCCACCAGAAAACGTAAAGAAATCCGGGTGTTCTTCAAAGGGGTACGCTCTCTGCCCCTGTGCTCTCCCTGAGGGTCCACGCTCCCCCTGGAACAAAATATCAGGGGCTGGAATGGTAGGATGGGAAAAACAGAAAGCTCCACCTTCTCATAAGACAACTTAAGGGCACTTAGGTGTTTCTTAACTGTGGTGTTGCACACAGGCCAAAGAGGGGTTAAGCAGTAACAGCAAGACTGGGAATGAAATCCTCGTTCTTGTGGTGCTGAAGCGCACAAAACCGAGTGAAGGTGTAACAGTCCAATTATTTCCCCAGCTCTACAAAGGGCACAGAACGCCATGGGCAACCACACAGAAGTCTCCTCGGGCCTTGTTCTAAGGAGGAGAAAGATTGTCCCGATCGAAGGGGGAAGAGAACGACTTCCGTCATTCACTAACCACTTTCCCCTGAGCTCATTTTGTCATG